ATATATATATATATATATAAAAAGTTTCACAAAGCGTTCTTACAAATGTTAACCTTTTTAGAGCTTTTGTAAGGTGCTATATTTTTTATTATATTTTTCTAAGCATTCTTAGAAATATCATTCTTGTTATCCTTCATATATCTCATGCAGATTGAAAATTCCCAGAGCTGATTACATTCTTACAGTAAAAAGTCACAAAATAATAGCAAATACAGTGTCTCGCAAAGTAGATATGGTGTAAAACTGTAACTACAATGCATAAACTGCAAAATTACCCATTAAACCGCCCATTAAACAGTGTTTAGATAGTACTCTGAAATATCTCCTTGTCTTACAATGGACATAAAAACCACTAGTTTTAAGGGCACATGTTGTCAGTCTAATCTTCAGTCTAATTGTATTTGAGTTCTGTACGCAGCTAAATGTGGCAGAAAATTGCTTGTTTTTGGTTTTCACGACAAGACAAAACTGATGTTTTTGACTCGGTACGTGATTTTGTCGAGTCACTTTCAACCCAGCGCTGAGATGTGAAGCAAAAAATGAAGACAAAAAAAGCCATTTCTGAGATAAACCCCTTTGCCAAAGATTTTACAACAGCAACAACAACAACAAAAACATCTTGTCATCTGTATTTTTTTTCTTTTTAAAGTTTTCCTCTTGAAAAAGCAATTAACTAACAAATCTGCATTGAAGTCTCTTTTTAGGGGTTAAGTAACACCGTGTCCTAACCAGATGTGTGAAAATACTGTGCAAAGCCACAATAGCCAATCAGAATGTTTGATGTGTAATATACAGCAATCTGGACCAATGAGAATTCACTGTGGGCGGAGCTACCAACTGCAATGTGACAAATAGAAACCAAGCTAGCAAAATGGCAGATAGATAAGAAAAAACACTTTTAAATAGTTTTTCTTCTCAAAAAAGGGATAGATTTCTGACAAACCACACTTAAGTTGCGTTTATGTTCCAAATATTAAGTAATTTCTCTGTCTAAAAATAGAAAAAGAGGCAGAACCACAGCTAACCTGAACATATTTGATATGCAGCTAGAGAGTGATTGCGATATCGATTGGCTTGTATGTGACCGGTTAGGACGGGGTGTTACAGAAACGCTGTTGACTTTAGTTCTAGTCTGTGTGAGATGGTTTCCGCATGCAAGGTTTTTGAACAGAGTAAAGTACGCGTGCGTGCGCAGGAGTGCGTCTTAAAACCATTTCCTTTTCCTCGCTAACGCTGACGTTTCGAAAGGAGAGGCTTTGGTCATGGCACAACTGCATGATTAAGGAATGACGGAAAGGAGAAAAAGGAAGGCAGGAAAGACAGAATGAAAGATAAAAAGAGGAGAGAATAAAAAAGAGATGAGAAAGAATGGAGTGTGCTAGCATTTTTGGGTTGCTTTCCCTTTCCAAGGTGTCATACGTCTTCTGTGCCTGTAGAAACGGGAAAGAGGTTTAAATACATTCTCACACACAAAGTTTTCTTAGCACAGCTTTGGTGAGGAGATTGAAATTTAAGTCACTATTCACTGAAAATTCCTCCAACTCCACTACAGTTCTAAAATTTCTGCATATTCAAAGAGGCTAGTTCAAGTTTGTTTACAAAGAGAATTTAATGAAATTCTAAGGCAACATTGCATGTATACTTAAAAAAAAAAACACAAATAATATATGTATGTATTTATATATTTAATTAACATTTTAACAAATGTTTTTTTTATTATTTCAAAATGAATTTAATTAGATTTTCAAATAT